GATCTGTTGGTCATTTTTTTCATAATGAGCAATGATCCCTTTACAAAGGTGGCCCTTTGAAATGGCAAAGGGCTAGCAAAGAAGAGGAACACCAAAGTAAACATGAAGAAGGACCGCTGAGGAGGAGAGTTGAGCTGTACATGGGCATCCATTGAGAGCTTGGCTAAAGAAGAAAAATAATGACTGTTTGCAATAGTAAGTGTAATAATTCAAATACAAACTGGAATGTGTGAGGTTTAGTTGCCTGTACAGTATGTTCTGAAGCACATCGGACCCAGCATCCTGTCTGTATGTGCTGCCTGACAGCATGCTTCTTCCGAACATTCCCCTCTTATCTTAGCCAGCTCTGCTAGAGTTTCTAACTCTTGTATAATTTGGGTAATACTTTTCACAGCTTCAAACAAGTGGATAATTTATCTGGATTAAGAAAAGTTAATGCGTGTGCCACACTGATTACCGCTTGTTGAAAACCCGACATTGTAAAGAGCCATTATTTAAATCCTTTAAGCTTTTCCTGTTTTCAGTGGACTCAGAAGCTCAGAAAATACATCAGTATGATTTGATTTATCTTGCCACATGAATGATGTCAGCGCATTTTAAAGTTGACTGAAGAATCACAGTTAAGCACTTGATGCACTCCTGTAATCAAATCAAGCACAGTTTTCACAAATGAGCACTCAGATTAAGGACGTGTGTCCATTACCTGAGTTTTCTTTGTAAATACAAAGAAGATGAAAATGTAGAACTTCTCTGATTCACTGACTAGAAATAATAATGTAGTAACCATGACAGAGAAGCTTCATGACAGCAGACTTTCATGTGTCTTCTCCTATGAAATGTTCAGCCAGCTGCATATGAAGATATCGCTTTCCTTTCATGTCCTTCTGCATGCTCACACATTTTTAAGACCACGCACTCCTGAGCGAGCCTTACTGGAGCCACATAGCCTCAAATAACCTCCAGAGCAGGGTGTCAAACAGGAGGAAGATGCCCCCGTGTTAATTACTGGTCTCTCACCAGGGGGCTAGAAGGACCTCGGCTATATTAAACTTTCTGAGACACTCTGACCCTGCTGCGGCATTCACACTGCTGTCAAAGTTCACATGCATCTCTTACATTTTTGTGGAATGTAGAATAAAACATGTTATTATTATGTGTACTTGGAGACGCCTCTATCATTTTCAGCTGATCAGAAACGCTGAGCTGAGCCTACATACCTGCACAGCTGCAGAGCAAAGAATTCTCTGTGTTTTAAATGTTTCGTGACAACACGGGATTTTTCTTTGAAAGAGCGTCTTACACAACAGCACATGCTTTCTCAGGAGATTTGGCTTGAATTTGAACATGTGAACTTCAGTTGCCCCGACACGCCGCTGCCTGTACATCTCAGGAAAGAAATGGGAGCTCGGAGGACAAATGAAGTAATACTGTTACACCCTAATAAAAACCCACTGTAAGTGAATGGGAAACCAGAGTACTACACTGCCTGGAATGAATAGCAAACACACGGCAGCCCCAAGTTAAAATGCACTTGTGTAACAAATTAAGCACGCTGGGCTCTTTCATTTTTATGAACATCTGTAATTTGTGAAATTAAATGTGTGTGATCGCTACAGTGTTGTTTTCCAGGCTGTACAGTTTAACAAGCGGCAAGAATGATTGGATTTTGTTTTAAATGATTATACAGCAAGGCTCACACTGGTGCTTATTCTAACTGAGTCACAATGATGATGTTAACTTGGTAAGGTTAGCTTAGCCGCCACAACTTCTACTTCCTCTACTTTGTTATTTTCACCATCACAAACTTGTTACACAACTGTCTCAAAGATGATCTCATCATTGGCTCTATGTGAAGTTTTAGAAGAAAATTATACTCGACGCAAAACAAGCCCCAGCTAGCTCAGCCCATAACAAGTAGCATATGGCAAAGTCTGACTGATGCATTTTCCCTTTAAGTCTGCTTCAGATTAATTGTTGTGCAACTTGTTTCTAATCTTCAAATCATTGTAATGTTCTTGCGTTAGTTTGGAAATACTATGCAGGATGGACATTAGTTTGTAACATTATATGACAGTCATGAATCTACTTTAAGAGGTGGATTTCCTGGCAGAAAAAAAAAGCTGCATTTGTATCTTAGATTTTTGTGTTTGTGGCTGTTTGTGTTTTGTGAGAGGGAGAGAGAGAGAGAGAGAGAGAGAGAGAGAGAGAGCTCAGCAAACAGTGGACAGTCCAGAGTGATGAAGCAGATGGTAATCACACAGTCTAGACAGAAGGTAGGCGAGTAGGAGATAGGCCGCACTGTTAAATAACCACCCACAGGTGCAACATTTTAAAGCCTCTTTTTTCCAGCAGACTCTACTGCACAGATTTCTGCAACATAATAAGCAGGCAGTAGCTCATCATGATAAACTAACAGGACAAGACTTGAATATTAATATGTTTGAATAGGGGGAAAATGGTCCTTTATACACCATCTTTTATTTGAACTGCACGCTTTGCTAACAGAAGACAAAAAAGCATATGCTAAAGCAAGGCTGTGAGAGAACCTCAGATGGCCAGCGTGTAGCAAGTATGAGTTATAACACCCCCACATTGTCTGTTGTTTGCTCCGGTACTGTTCGCTACCTGTGGGAAAAAGAGCGGATTTTCCCTCTGACATAGTGTGCAGTGCTCTTACCCTAGAGTCTTAGAAATCAATAAAAACTCATCTCACTCCGCTGACACGGTTTTAACCAAAGTTTTGAGACCACTGACCTGCAAACATTTAAAATTCGCAGCGCATCTGTATTCACGAACCTGTGAATAATGAAGGGCACAGCGGCATCTTTATGTAAAAGATCATATTCTGTCAATAAGACTGGATAATCACAGACTGCAGGGGCCTGCCTGCGCAGCCTTCTGCATAGACTGATAGCACAGAACAACAGGACTGGAGGCCACATCTGCACACTGCACACGAAACATCAGTCATTTCCTGATTGTCAGCAACAAATTAACTTGGTCAAATGAAGATGACTTTCTTTCATGTTGTAAAATGTAAAGGAAGCGCTATTTCCCACTGGAGAGACGATGATGTGTCTGTCATAAAGTGCTGTTACAGTGGACCTGCCTTGGCCTGTGTTGACACTTCATAAAGATTAACACTGATGTAGTTATTCACACATTAACAGCAGTGAATTAAGGAATCTTAATCAAATAACATGTGAAGCACTTAGACACAGAAAAAAACATGCTGTCACAAGAGCTCAGTGGAGTGCTTGTGCCCTCTAGTGTCAGTGTTGTATGTTTTCTCACAGCGAAACATTTCATGAATTTGTCACACTTTTTTTTTAAAAACTAGAAAAGGCCTATTTTTGCCTTATGCAACACCTACTGAGATCATGTTTTAAATAACTTAACTTTTAAATTTATAACTCAAGTCTTAAGATTTTTAATTTTATTTCACGTGTGATTTTATTACATCAAGCACCTACAGTAGAAGGAAAACATTTCTAGAATAGTGTCAATATGATTGTCTGTCTCTGTGTTGACCCTTCAACTAGCTGGTTACCTGTCAAGGGTGTGCCCCCCCTGTCCTATGGCACTGTAGCACCTAGGACAGGCTTCAGCTCCTGTACTATGGATGGATGCTTTTGAAATCCCAGGAAAATATTCCAAATTATTATTAAATAATAAATTATTATTGTTTGTGCCAAACCTTGCAGTAACACAAATGGCCACTTGAGGCTGACACGAAAAACTACGCGAGTCACTTTACACTTTCCAATTTAACAACCTGCAATTTTAAAAGGGGTCCCTCTACTTTTTCCCCTTTGTGACAACTGTAGTTACCTGTATAAAATAAATGAATCTATGGTAATGAACCATTAGAGCTGTGGCCACTAGTGACAGATCAAATACACTGTTCAGTTATTTATTTATTTTTACATGCTTTTCCCCCCTCCTGGCCAAAATAACCATCCCATTTAATATCACAGTGAAACACAGATTCATCTTGCTAACCAAGTGAACTAACCAGTAATTACATTATTGGAATTTCAATTCAAATATGGTCCTATTTTTACATCCTATTTAAAAAGTAAGCAAACAAAGAAGTATGGTCACCTTAAATACCAAACTGGAGGCTTAATGTTAGTCCCAAAGCTATGGCTGCTGTCATGGTTGGACAGTGAGAAAAAATTATGACGCTACATTGACTTTGCCCACTGGGTTCATCTGAAACGTATAAAGACTAAAATGTACAACAATGGACTTATCGTTTTATTCTGTGTGAGCGAAATGAGTAGCTAAGGCAGTACAATCATCAGAGAAGTGTTTACAGGGTTCCTGTCAGAGAGGTGTTATCCCACAGGCTCCTATAGGACCGGATACTTTTTTGCAACTAGCGTATCGCCCCTTGGTGGCTATAATAATATTGCTGGTTTAAGGCACCAGCGTTGACTTACCTTTAGACCTAGGAGTTTATTATAGGTGTGGAAGGTCTGAGCTCATTTTATATACAGTCTATGTTCACTGCATACTTACTTCTGTTCCATATATACACATTTTCAACAGTAAATATTTGCATGCGGTAACAGTTCTGTTTAAAAAATCTTTACATCTAGAGGGTTAGGGTTATCTTTAAAGTGACCGTGCATCATGGGCGATGCACTCCTGTGTTTGGGATGCAGACATAGTGCCACCTGGTGGACTTTGTTAAGCTCATACAATTGTGTCCAGCACAGTTTAAAAAATGTAAATAAATATGAAAAATAAAACTACCCAGTAAAACAGGTTAGTCCTAATAAGGGTTAGCCAAAAATATGTATTCTGAAATTCTGAAGTTAACATCTCACGTCTTTTGTAGTCTCTGTATATTATTGTAAAGGGTGTAAAAAAACAGCGCAGAAGTATTAATTCATGAAAGGTGCAAAAACATATGATGCTCACTGCGTGGTGATTAACTGTACCTATTAAAGTAGCTGAGCCAGAGTCCGCTGTGGCGTTGAGGAGGAGCTCAGTTGTTTATTCATTCACGTCAGCCCCTCTTCCCTTCCCTTCCCTTCCCTCCTTCCTGCTACACACAACGGGGACCCACCGTTGTAACTGTTTTTCCCATATTAAAATTAACCACAGCCACGTCGCCACCATAAACCGATTTTGGAATCAGGTGAGTTGCGCTTTTATCTTCCTTTGGAGATTACAGTTGGATCAGAAATGTATATGTGGCGCTGGAGCGTTGACTTGTCCGGCCCGGCGAGGCGGAGTATTTCAACCGTAACTTATTAAATTCCTCCTGACCAGGCTCGAAAATGTATGCGCGTTATGTGCGGCGATTTCACCGTCTGTGCGCTTTAGGCGACTGTCTTTCGGTGCGGCTTTTCACGCCGTGCCGAAAACAACCGCGCGATGTAGGTCAACAACTACAGCCAAAATGTCGTCTTTTCTTTTTTTACTTCCACATTCTCTCATGCCACAAACAGATGGCGTCGAGAGAGGGGGATGGAGAGAATGGGGAAAGAGGCGCATAAAGGAGTAGGGGCGACACCAGGCCACATTAGCCATCACTAATCTAGACCATGCACATGCAACATAACCCACCCCGTTCGTGCCAAAGACGTCTTGCAGGCCTGTCTTCAACAAAGTTTTTGCCGTTAAGTTGTCGGGTCTTTCTTTTTAAAGATGCGGTGGAAGTTCTTTTTTGGACCTGGGGATGATGGTTTATTTTCAGTAGGCTGAAGTGTCGGCAGTGCCAGCGTTAAGATAAGGCTGGCCACTTTCAGCTCTGGTGTATGTAACGCATAGTCGAGGCCACATTTTGGTCACAACCCTGCGCAAAAGGGGGATATTTCGACACCGCAAAGCACCGGGAAGATGCACTGCAGTAACCTGTAGCCAAAGCGGCTTGCTGCTGCTATGGGAAAGACAAGCTACCACCAGTTGGCTGACTCCTCCAAGGGCTGTCAGAGATCAATGATAGGCCACACAGGTATCCTCCACTGCACTAATGAGGTCAGTGCATCTAACACTGGCTTGTCAAGGGATGTGAAGGTACTGTAGGGCTGTCCCATTTGTGGCACTCTGTGCCATTAAATGTAATGAAATGCAAAGCCAAAGCCAGTAATCGTACTGCTGACCCCTTGCATACCTGCCATGCAGTGTCTAATCATGTAATGAGGATGGTGCACTGCATGCAGCAAGGCAGCTGCATACTGTGCATACCAGTTGGCAGCTCGGGGCCTATAGATGTTCTCTGAGTCACTGCACTTCAGTGGCTGGCAGTAATTAAAAACATATCCTCCCATTGCGGTCTAAGGGTCATCTAATTGATGGTCATTTAGAGAGAAATATTTAAATGACTCAGCAGCGTTCACTAAGGTATCACTGCTGTGCAGATCCTAATTCATGCTGCAGAACTTGCCATTAGCCTCTTTCAAAGTGATGAATGAGTGTCCTGAAATCATGCTTTGACTTAAATGACTCAATCATCCCAGTGCCCACGGGAGAACAGGGCGTCAACCGCCGCCGTTCACCTCAGGCTTCTGTACTGTTACTGTAGCCATTTCGGCTGAGCATCTTCAGTCAGTTTTGTCTTTCTGTTGTTTCTGCACGAGCGTTAGGTGATGTAGGTTCAATGTTTTCAGGTCGAGGAGTCCACTTCCATTGTTGTCTTTCAAAGAGTTTATCTGTTGGCTCCTGTTGTACTTTTTCCTGAACTGTCAAGCCGCTATAGTGGCTGGCCAGTCATGACCACATCGATTTCCGTGCTCTGCCTCCCTGAATGCAGTTTTGAGGCTCTTTGACTTCCCCAGTTTGATCATAACAACTCCCATCTTTTTGTGCAGTAAGGCTTTTCAGACAAATAATTTTTCTTGCAAAGTTATTATCTATTATCTCTGAGCTGGCAGCACACAATTGTTTTGTTTGTTTTTCCTATTTTAATCCCATATCTTAAACTTATAATATGCATACCCCCAAAATGTCAACATCAACAAAAAGCACAAGCAAGCAATCAACTTTTACCTGTAGAACTTAGGTCAAGTTTTAGTGTACTGATTTCACCAGTCACAAAATTGTAGCTCGTATTGTTTTCAGTGTGTGTGTGTGTGTGTGTGTGTGTGTGTGTGTGTGTGTGTGTGTGTGTGTGTTTGGCCAGGTGTTTCTTTGTCCATCTGGATGTAAGTGGTCAGATTTTGTCAAAATGATGTCAGTATGCACGATGGAGTCAAAATTTTAGAGGTGTGGTCAAACTAATTAGTACTGAGTGCTCATATCATAATGCAGTAATTAGAACACATTGACGAGCATTGTTACTGGTGTGATCCCATTCCATTGGGTTACGCAGTGATGAATTTCCCCAAGTTTGGATCGATAATGTGTTACTGCACTGCACTGCACTGCCGCTGCTGGTTTTCACAATCTGTATGTTACTCAGGGGATCATAAGCCGTTCGTTTATGGATCATCATCAGCAGGGTGATGGTTGAATCTAGTCCGGCCGGGCCAAACAGCAGTCTTATTCCCCATAATCCAGAAAAAAGACAAATCCAGTCATCTTATCAGAAAATTAGATGCTTCTCTGGCAAATTAAGATAAATGAAAAATAGGCTTTTTCTATTTTCTCCTTCCGCTCTTTATCACGCTTTGGGAATACAGCTGTGGTAAAAGGTTTAGAATAGCTGATGATGGTGTCAGCACATTGCAGCGCTTCGCTGTGCTGCAGGCAGGGTTAAAAAAAAATGTTTCTCAAAGCACAAAGGCCTAATGTGTGGGGCCTGTTGGTAACAGCTGAACGACCTCCAATGTGCATTGCCTGCTTGTTTGTATGTCCTGCATGAGTGCAGTGTTTAGGCCGGTTTCACCACTACAATGCCCAGATCTTCTGGAAGAAAGCTTTTTATTTTGTAATTGTTAAAAATAAAACCAGATTTAGGGTAACTGCATTACCAAAGCAAGCTGACAATTCATCTTTTAGGGCATAACTCATAACACAATTCCTAACTTTGCATTACCAGACTGGTTGAAGTTTTGGCACGCTTGTGTTTAAATATTACACTTTAATGCAAGATGGTTGTGGTACCTAATCTGTCTGTTTTTCTCATGATTGTGAACGGACCAAAAACCAGTGCTGTCAACTGTTATTTTCACCAGAAACTTTGCTACACAACAGACAGAGAAAGGGGTCTGGATTTAACCCTCGACTTGTCTGTGCCAGAATAATTTTTTCCTCATGCAAGTGGCATGGCTCGAGGGATCGCAGCATCAGTTTGTTAATTCAGCCTGAAATTTCTCTTGAATAATTGCATGGAATGCCGTGATTTTTTTTTTAGCTTTTTTTTTTAACACATCCAGAATAGGGCTGTGCGATATGACCAAAATCTCATATCCCGATATAAGAATTCTATCGTCCCGATAACGA